CGATCATGGCAGAATCATCAGCATCTTCCTCAACAAACCCATAATCAGGTTCACCATCATCACTATCATTACAATCATCAGTTCCACCGCTATAGAAATCATCCTCACCAGACTCCATATCGTGTGCATCGAGCATATCTTCTTCAGAATCCATGATCAGAGTAAACGAAATGGCAAAAAAAGAACCGAGATTTATACAAATTAGATGAAACCCCTCTTCTTGCAAATTAGGGTTTGTCGGAAACACAAAATCGCAGGGGATAGTGAAGAGCTTTCTAAGGGGAGGGGAAGCAAAATTGAGGCTTGATGAGAGAATAAAATTAGGACATAAGTGTCCAAATTTATGCGGTCTGATCGAGAAAGGGAATCTAAAGAGACTGGATCGGTTGGGTTTGCGATTACAGGAATAGAGTGTAGACTTGTATCACTCTACCACATCACATTTATAATTTTCATAAAGGTAACCACAAATCTGTATGTCTCTCACCAAATGGAAATGATAATGATTTTGAAGGAAGGATTATTGATTTTCTTTTTCTCTTTACTTCTTGGAGAAAGTAATCAATTTTATATCGCATAAATATCTTATCATCTGTTAACACTTGGATGTGAGTATTAAAATAAAGAGAAATATTGCGCTCTCTCTATCTCTCTCTATTTCCCTCTTTATCTTCTCTCTCTTTAATTATAATAATAAAAAATTATTCACACCCAAACTCACACATGTGCCATTGTGTATGCTCTTAGATCTTACTAGTATTTTGATGATTTTCACTAAAAACTATGGTATTATTTTATTTGATCAACCATATAAATGAACTTATAATGTTTTGTTGTGACATTCATTTTGTACTCACTTTAGATGGTGTTCTAGTATCAACAAAGATAAAAAAAAAAAAATTATAACTGAATTATATTAATAGAACTTTTCTAAATTATTGATTAAAATCTTTCAACACATTATTGTTATAAGAATCTAATTCTTATTTATGTGATTGATAATACTACAATAGCATAATGGTGAAAAGTAAAAGTTTTTGTTGTTAATCTATTCAATAGAAAACTCATATTATTTGGATTTTTTTTTTTCAATCACACCATAATTAAAATAAAACTTTTTACATTGGCACTTTGCTCTTAGAAGCATTGTGATTCTTCCCCTGCCAACAAAAATTCATCTAATACCATCAATTATTTGGATTATTAGAACTTTTTTGTCATTTCATTTTAAATAATATTACAGAATTATATAATTGACCTAATTCTTGTATACTTCAAATCTTGATACTAATCTTTTACTAACATGGCAAAACATAAAATAGGGCAAATAGTAGAACCACAAAAAATGCATGAATCATACATTCTAGAACTATATTAGAGGCTAAGTATAAGAATTAAATAAATTAAAAAATAAAATAAAGATATAAAGATTTAAGTTATAAGTTATAACAGTAACACACTTGGAAGCCGATGTTGTTCTTCTTCCTTGGCTCAGCGCCGCGTTTTCTCTCCTCATCCTCTCGATGAATTCCTCTCAAGCTTGCTTCTTCCATTTTCCTCTTAGACCAATCTCGCTTTCGCATCCCTCCTATGCTTTCCTCTCTAAACGTAAGTGTTTCTTCCTCAAATTAAGTAGTTCGGAATCAAAATCTTAAGAGATTGTTACCTACTAGACTAGTTCAGGATACAATCGTTAAAGTTTCATTGCTTCGAATTGATAAAACCCTAACTTCAAGAGCACCGACATGGGTTTTTCACTGTTCCTACAAAGTTCATAACTTTTTCACTGATACTATCTCTTGGACTAGTTCTCTTAAGCCTGCAATTCTCTCAAATTATCGAACTTTATTTTCATATGAACAGAAACAATTGTTGAGGCATGTGTTTGACCTTGATGTTGTTTTTGCAGGAGACCCATCTCTGTGTTATCAACCTTTACAATCCAGGAAATGTCTTACTATGAATTTGAATATGTCAAGGAGAGAAGGACATTTTATTCAGATGAACAGAAGACATCTCTTTATTAAAGAAAAGAAGAGTTTTTCGATAAATTATTCCGATAAGCTCAGAGATGATTCTATGAGCAGTGAGGAGATGCATGTAGATGCTTTGGATGTGGAGATTACTCCACCAGATTCACAGGACATTCATATTTCACAGAATTCTACTGTCTCCAGCACTCTACAGGAAGATAGGCCAAAGTCTTTTAGAAATAGGTTTCTTGATTTTGTTCGGATAAGTTCAGTACTCAATACTGCAGCTGAAAGATTCTTTAAGAGCGAGATAAGGAGGAGGTTGTTTGTAACGGCTGTTTTGCTTGTACTTAGCCGTGTTGGATATTTTATACCTTTACCTGGATTCGACAGAAGATTAATACCTCAAGATTACCTTAGCTTTGTCTCGGGTTCTGTGGGTGAGTGTTCTCATGTCATTTGAGTCCTATAACCCCTTGTTCGGATGACACATCTAAGTTTGTGGCTAACATCTGTGTTTTTGATAGAGGAACTGGGTGAGTTTGGAGCAGAGATCAAGCTTTCGCTTTTCCAGCTTGGGCTCAGTCCACAAATAATAGCATCTATAATTATGCAGGTTAAGATCTCCCCCTTGATTTGATGTGTTTGCCTGTTTCTGTGGATTCTTTATATATTAAAATTATGATTGATGTTAAAATTGATCATGAAACACCAGGTGCTTTGTCACGTTCTTCCATCGTTGGTGAAACTGCGAAAGGAAGGCTTAGATGGTCACGAAAAGATCAAGAGTTATATGTGTGTTTAGTTTCTTACCTCTCAAGCCGTGAGATGAATTCTTCACATGCAATTACTTTGTTTGTAGATCTTGTGACTTTTTTGCTTCATTGAACAAAGTTACTAAATCGCTTTTTTCGGTCTTACTTTTAGATGGTGGCTATCGTTTCTCTTTGCTATAGTGGAAGCATTAGTGGTGGCTTACACTTCGCTTCAATATTCAGTTTTTGCAGCCACTGCCCAGTAAGTTAATTAGGATTATTCAAGTTCGGAGTAGCAAAAATGATGCTTGTAGATTCTATCATCCATTTTGCCACAACTGATGCTAAAGTAAGAATTCATGCTTTTTCAGGGTCAAGCATGTAATGATGACAGCATCTTTGCTAGTCTGTGGTGCAATGACAATGACATGGCTGTGTGATACAATTTCAGAATCCGGATTTGGTATTTGATTCTCTCTCTTCTTATCTCTATAACCATTGGTAGCTTAAAGTGATGCAGAAATGGAGTATTTGGTGGAACTCGCTCATTACATGTTTCTATGCCTTTAACAGGTCATGGGTCATCTCTAATTATTTGTGTGGGAATATTGACGGGCTACACGGAGACCTTACACAAGATGCTGAACCAAATCTCAGGTACCTTTGGTTTTTCCTGCTCCACATTTCTCAATCTTATGGTTAGTCTTTACTCTTTACCTTAGACCTGCATGTCTTCCACATTTCCTGGAAGCAACTATCATTCGCTTATCTTCTCAATTAATTTATAAAAAGGAAGAGTTGTTCTTTATTTTGTTTTTGCAGGAAGTTTCTCGAATTGGTTGCCTTACTTGTTAGGCTTGCTGGGCATTTTTACGGTAGTAACTATGTTCGCTGTTGTTGTTACTGAGGGCTGCAGGAAGATAAAACTACAATATTATGGTTTTAAACTTGCTTCTGCTTCGAGGTAATATATATAGCTCAGCATCAGTATTTTGTAGAAAAGATTGTTGTATATTACAATTTTTACCAATATTGCTTGGAGTAGACTAGGGTTAATATACATTTGGATGCAACGTGTGCTTTACTCATATTTGTTTTTATGCTATGTTTTCGCCATTTGGGCAGAGAAGGTTCTCCGATAACCGAGGTGGAGCCTTACATACCTTTTAACATTAACCCAGCAGGAATGCAACCTGTTCTCACAACCACATATCTCTTGGCATTCCCCAGCATTCTTGCTAGGTAAATCCCTTGAAGATTCTGTTAGGTTTATATCATTCTTGTTCTTACTTCGTTGTGTTATTATTACCATCTAAAGCTGTCTAATAAGGTGATATATTGTCTTTAGTATTCTGGGTTCACCTTTCTTGGTACACGTGAAGGAGATATTAAACCCGGAAAGCACGGTTGGAGCACCGCCTTGGGTCTATTACTCAATATATGCGTTTTTCGTCTTTCTCTTCAACATCTTTGACATTGTGAGTAATTACCCTTTTTCTAAATCAGAACTTCAATCTTCCAATGAACATTAAACATTACATGAACCGGGTTTCTTGTTTGTTATGTAGGCCAACTTGCCAAAGGAAATAGCCGATTATTTAAACAAAATGGGAGCGAGAATACCCAATATAAAGCCTGGGAAAGCCACAATCGAGTACTTAACGAAGATACAAGCATCAACTAGGTTTTGGGGTAAGTTAGTTGTTGCGGTTTAGATCTATTTCCTATATGGTACAAGTGTAATCTCTAAAAAACATTTGATTTGGTTTTGATTCAGGTGGTCTTCTGTTGAGCTTTTTGGCAACAGCTTCTACTGTACTTGACCACTATCTACGCAGCATCAATCAAGGCTTTTCTATCGGATTTACATCGGTTTTGATCATCGTAAGTGTTCTTTCCATGTTCAATATCATTCAATTTAACAGTACCGACTTCGATGTGTTGATAATCTCTATCGTTTGTCTACAGGTTGGTTCCATTATTGAACTCAGAAGATCTTACCATGCCTACAATGTAATGCCTAGTTTAAGCAAAGCGTTGAAGAGATATGGTGTATAAGGAGATTTGAGAAACAGAAGAAATTATAGATATATTATTGTGGTTTAGAGTTTCTGTAGCTCTTTTTTTTAGTAGATTAGGAATTAGATGATTTGTATTAAGAACCAAAACACATAACCAATTTACAATCATAATCTTAGAATCTATCAAGCATTTGCGGAATTTATAAATAACTCAACTGATTTTCTTTTCTTTGTTTGTCAACAAGTGAAAGTCAAATTAATTAGTTGTCATATTTGGCTAAATTTAAAAAGCACAAATAAGAGCCAATGTTACACTTGATTCATAAACAAAAGTCCACAAATAGTCGCATAATGAAACAAGAAAATAACATTGTGTCAGTTTTGCAACTCGTGATGACTTAAGCCTGGAACTTCCCACGAATCTTAGGATCCAGAAGATTGCCTATGACATTATAGGTAGCTTCCGATGGATGAATCGAGTCAAAGAACAAAAACTCCGACCGATTCTGACACGTAGGAGAGAAAACATTACACATGAAGCTCGTCTCCAAGAACCCTGTTCCACAACATCCTCTCTTCGTCTCTTTGAACCCTGTTTTAATTCCACACACACGAATCATATATATAAACAATGCTCAATAGTACTATCTCATAAGAAAACTTGCGGAACAAGAAAGATGTTAATGTACATACCGTATTTGCTAGGGTTTTGCATCATCTCCATCATAGGATTATAGACATCGGCGTAAAGGATTTTGCTTCCTTTAAGAGATGCTTCGAGTTGGGGCAAGAGATTCTGAAGTTTCTGATTGTATAAAACAGAGTCTCTGTTATGTTGTTCCAAGCAGAATCTAAAAACGTTGCGGAATTTAACAGTCATGTGGATCGGTAAACACCCCATTGGCGGCAAACCTCCAACCAAAATATTCCGGGAACCTAGACTGTAAAGCTCCTGCATATACACCGGAGAGATTAACAAAAGAAATTATCAGAAAACTTTCAGTCACTATAGTCTGCTCCAAAACCCTAATTGTGTGGTAATATGAAGAAATAAATATCTTAGACGTTACCCGCACGATATTTTCAAGCCTTTTAAGAATAAAGTCTTGGTAACCAGAAATGAAAGGATACTCGAGACGCCTTGAGGGAATATCGTAATAGTTCAAAATGAAATCGTTAGGCCCTGCACTGATAACCACTAAAGCATTGTTTATGATCTCCATTGCTTTCTTGTCTCCCACGATACCTTTGAGACGAGCAATGTAACTCTTGAACATGTTTGGTTGTTCCGAGACACGAATGGCTTGTGTGGAGAGACTGGTTAGGTCGTCGTAACCGGCACCAGCTGATGCGAAACAGACTCCGGTTAGAATGTCTTGGTCGGAGAGATTTGGTTGTAAGAAAGGAGGAATAAACTCTTTGATGTTGAGTTTGGTTGCGATTATGTCGGAGATAAGTTTTCCGTTTGAGAATCTTCCGTTAGCTTTGCCATCTGGAAGATCCATGCCGTAAGGAAAGTGTTCAGCTCTGAAGATTGTTGGTAAAGGGTAGTTGTTGTTGCCTGTGTCGACGGTTGAATCGCCGAAGATTAGAATCGCTGGGAAGAGCGGTTTTGTTGTTGCGTTTGCGACTGCGTTGCAGGACGCGAATAGTGTTGTTGCGATAAAAAGAGTTAAGGTTATGGTTTTAGAAGTCGACATTTCTTTTTTATTTTGGTTTTTGTTTTTAGTTGATTTGAAGAAATGTGTTGTTTGGTGATGAATTTATAAGGTGAATTTTCTTTTGTTACCTTGCTGGCTTTGTGAGTTTGTTATTCTTTAAAGTGAATTACAAATGGATAAAGTCAAGAGCTTTGAACCTTATAGTCTAAATAAAGATTTTGTTAAGATATTGATGAGCTTTTCACCCAATGAAAAAAGAAAAACTGAAAAACAATCTAATGTGGTAATGTGGTCAAAAGAAAAGAAACTTCGTTGGTCGAGCAAGATAAAATAGAAAAGCAAACTTTTTATTTAGCGTTTAAGAATTGATAATGTGAAAAACAAATCGATAAACATACAAATTAAACAAACATATCTTAACTCCAACCGAACTCCAATTCTGAAATCTGGTTGAACAAAATGACCTAATTCATATGATATGGTCATATGGACAACATCAACATTTAACACATATAAAATGTTCCAAGATGATGTACTTACTAAACACGAATCTAGAGAAATTTAGAAGTGTCAAGAAAAATAACTTATACCAGTATCTGAAACCAAAATCAAACTCTCTAAATTAGAGCATACTTCCTTTTTTTGTGGCTAGCGACTTGTGCATAGTTTTCTTTAGATAAATCCAATATTTGATAAGATGAAAAAGAAAGGAAAACAATATTGAATTTACACATTCTATAAACTAATGGGCTACATTTATTAACTAATGGACCGATTTTAACATTGCTTGATGGCCAATGACACCATTGCTTGATGTTGTGATCATTTATGCTCCTAAGGAAGAAGATATCAACTTCATGTCTGCTCAGGTTGCTGCTCTTGTGCCAGAAGGCTCCATCCACAACCGTAGATTATCCTGAGATGATTCCCCCCGTGGCCTAGAAAAAAACCTTTTTTTTACTATTACTCCATCAGATTTCCTTTCAACTTTTCTACCTTTTGTGATCAGTTTATAGCTTTTAATTCGTATCTGTCTTCGAATAAGACAAATTTTCTCAAATTGTAATTCTAAAATTATCTTAAGCTTCCAATGTTGAAAGGTATATCATATTCTATTTTGCAAACTATAGAACGAATTTATTCAATTCATTGCTTTATAAAAAACCCTCGGAATATTATGATTTTAAATAAGATTAAATAATTTAAAATAAAATAAGATTAATATCATAAGTAACTCTGCACTTTACATATTTAAAACATTTATATTTTAACCAATATCGCAATATTATTATAATATATAGTTATAAGTTTCAGAATAAAAATAGTAATATACCTTCTTATGTGAATTATGGGAAGATAACGAAATGAAAATTTACTTTAAACCGCTGTTGCTCGAGTTATACCGAAAGAACCCCCTTAACCGGTGTTGTTGCCTTCATCTTTAAGAAACCAAATTCAAAAATAAAACCGGAAGAACCACCTTCAACAGGTATTTCTCGGTAAGTTGAAAATATTCACAATGTGGAATTATGCGAATGTGTGTACAGCTGTGCAAAGCTGGGCATTTGAATTTTCATATTTTTTTGAACAGAAATTTGTCTTGCGATCTTTCATTTTCAAATTTTGAATTTTCCTATATAACGGAATCAAATGGACGTTTAAAGAAGAAGAACGTTAACAAAGCTCTCTCTTATTTTTATAAATCCCTACATTTTCCTTTTTGCAAAATGTCTGTAGAAGTTGAGTATCGGTGCTTTTTTTTTTGGCGATCAAACACTAGAAAGGGTGTGTTCTCTCCGTTCGTCTAAGTTTATCGATTCAAAGGTTAGTAACACGATATATCATGCTCTCGGATTTAGGGTTCCGATAATTCTGATTCCAAAGATTTATTTGTTTATGAATTGTGTTTTTCTGTTACTTCACTCGATTATTGTTCCGTCGAGGCAATTCCGATCATTCTGAAATGTTTATGAATTGTAGTATTTCTCTGTTACTTGATTCGATTATTGTTACACGGAGAGATTAAAACTCCCCGAACTAGGGTTCCGTCGAAGCAAGTCCTATAATCCTGAAATGTTTAAATATTGTGTGTTCTCTGTTACTTGATTCGATTATTGTTACAGAGAGATCAAACTCCCCGAATTAGGGTTCCATCGAGGCAATTCCGATAATCGTGAAATGTTTATGAATTTTGTTTCTCTGTTACTTGATTCGATTATTGTTACTTAATTTATCCCAATCGGTATGTTAATCTTCCTGCTTGTATGAGTGGAGAGGTCGATCGATTTTGTTATTTGATCGATACCATCTCTATGATAACTCTGTGACTTGTTCGATTTGGTTTTGACAGATTGCGAGAATTGGAAGATCAAGGGCACTCTGATTCGTGATAATAAATCCTCCATGTGATTCTATCGAAGAGATGATCGAGAAAGAACTTGATGGTCGTAGCGTCAACGTGAATGTGGTGGTTGGTGTTAATCGAAGATAAAAAAAAATAGTTTTGTGCTGCTCTGTTTTCGTTTTAGATTTGTTCTGCATCATTGTGTCTCCGGTTTGTTACTTGTTCTTGTTCTTATGGTTTACTTTTTTGATGTTACAGATCGTTTCAAGTTTTCTTTGCTTGAAGAAAAGAGACATGTACCTAAATGCACACATGCATTCATGCATTCATGCATTCCTGCATACATACATCCATACATACATATATACATGGATTCTTTGTTTACTTCACCATTTATGCTTTCATTCCTTGCTTACTTCATCATTTATGCTTTCATTTCTTGCTTCCTGGTTTTCTTTCTTCATTCCTTGATTTGTTTTCTATTTCCTAGTTCCTTCCTAGTTTCCTTCTTTGTTTGCTTATTTTCTGCTTTCTATGCTTGTACACATTCATATTTGCTTCTCTGTTTATTTGATTCCATGATTCATTGTTTGATCCTTTGTTTACTTATTTTCTGCTTTCGTGCCTTACTTGCATGCTTACTTTTTCTTCATTATTTGCTTCTTGGTTTGTTGGTTACTTCCTTGTGTCCTTCTCTGTTTCTTTGTTTTGTTGTTTACTTACTTGATTCCCTGATTCATTGTCTCATCCTATGTTTACTTATGCTTTCGTTCCTTACTTGCATGCTTACTTTTTTCTTCATTATTTGCTTCTTGGTTTTTTTGTTACTTCTTTGTGTCGTCCTTGCTTCATATTGCTTCTCTGTTTCTTTGTTTTGTTGTTTACTCACTTTATTCCATGATTCATTGTCTGATCTTTTGTTTACTTATTTTCTGCTTTCGTTTCTTACTTGCATGCTTACTTTTTTCTTCATTATTTGCTTCTTGGTTTGTTTGTTATTTCCTTGTGTCCTTGATTGGTTCCTTCCTTGCTTGCTTCTGTATTTTCTTCCCTAATTCCTTGGCTAATTTGCTTCCTTGTTTCCTTGCTTACATGCTTAATTTCGTACATACTGTCTATTAATTACTTGGTTAATTTGCTTCCTTGTTTCATTGATTACATGCTTAATTATTTACATATTGTCTTTCTACCTTTACTGCTGAACTTTTTTCTTTTTACTTCCTTTGTATCCTTAAATTGCTTGCTATTTACTCACTAACTGTCTCAGTTTATTCTCCACTAAAATATATACTTTGCTTTAGATAGTTCTAGGTTACTAATTAATCTTTTCCAGAGTTCACACTACTGAATCAACCGATACTGATATGAGGAAAGCAGTTGTTGTTTCAAACCTTGCAGTGAGTATAAAGCTAAGATTGACAGTTTGGGAATTTATTATTCTAGTGACTCTATCACTCTCTGCTGTTATATGCGTCTCTGACACTGTAATTGAGGATCGTTTTGATGTTGAACATGGAAGTGAAGAGTGGTACAAGAAGTTGGGTCTCCATTTTAAGTGGCTTCTTCATCATCGGATCAATCCATACTTTTGCAAATAGGGTGATGGCATGCAGGTCATGACATACAACTCACCACAGCCTGGTATTACAAATCGTCTTTTGATATCTTTATGCACCATTTGTACATGTTTTGTGTTGTGCAAGCTGATCATTTTGCTTCAAACTCTTGAGTTTTTAATTTGCATTCCACTTATTTTTCGCAGCCGATCATCTGAAATCGGATGAATACATCTCTGATCCAAGGCTTGCGGCTTTTGCAGTACCATATATTACTTTTACTTGTGGGGTGAGGTATCTTAGTGCTTAAATCAATTTTCCATTAGTGTGTGTGTGGTAATAGGAAAATTCTAAGCCATTTTTTAATCTCATGATCCATCTGTGGTGTAGTTGACGTGTTGTTTTAGTTGAAATTACTTATTTACAGCTTCAAATAACAATTATAACTTGTGGCAGCCACTGAATATGGAGCACTTTGATAGCGTTTCCAAGATGGCCAGTGAAAATTTTGCCTATGCAGATGCTCGTGTTTTGACTACATAATATTGTGGTATGATTCCCTTTTTCTGGAATTCACATGTGCTAATTGATTCCATTATAAATAGTTATTGTGATTGGCTATGTCCTTCTATTAAACTTTTGTGGTGTTAATATCTTACTTTTCTTTTCAGTTTAGCCTGCCGAGATGGGTCTTGAAGAGATTGAATATAGGAGGATCTCTTGTAAAACCAGAAACTATATCTCACTTAAAGAGCTTTTTATGGAAAGAAAAACTTGAAGGTTTGTCGAAGGGCTTAAAAGCCTATTTTTTTTTTTTTTGGTAGGAGAGGGGGGCGAACCCCCATTTTATTAAAAAGAAATTACGAATTACAAACGAACATTTCTAGGACGCGCAGGCCCGTTAATATCCTCCAACAAAATTAAATTAACACTCTCTGGACTCGACGTAAACAAATGAAAACCCAAAGGCAAAGAAAACGCATAGTTAGCCAATCCATCCGCAAGACGATTAGCCTCCCTATACACATGTGAAACTCGGACTAACCAGTCCTTCGATAAAAAGCCATGGCACAGACGTACCAGGAAGGACAACGGATGTGAATCCTCAATCCCTGTCCGCAAAAAACCAACCACCATCTCAGAATCAACCTCCAGCTCCAAACGTGTAATGCCTCGCTCCCAAGCTATGTATAAGCCATAGTAGACTCCCCATAACTCTGCTAGCGGTGCTGAGCATATCCCGATATTAAGCGCAAAACCACCACACCAATTACCTTCCCCATCCCGTATCACCCCTCCTGCAGTTGCTAGACCGGGATTCCCGTGAGAAGCACCATCCGTATTAAGCTTGAACCATCCAACCATAGGGGGAATCCAAGCGATCATTCGCTCTACCCTTACCACTTGACTCAAGCTTGCCGACAACTTCTTATGCGCGACCCAAACGTCTTTTGCTAAATCCTTAATGAAACGCACCCGATCTCGACATTTCCCATTTTCACCGAAGACGTTCCCGCATCTCCACTTCCAACCCCACCAAACAGCTTGTGAAAATATTGTGGCCCACGGACATGCACCAATCTCCTTCTCATCACCCACGTTACTATAAATCCACTCCAGAAGAGATTGAGAGAAAAAGACTTGTCGTCGTTGTGGAGGTAAGAGACGAGTCCACACTCCCGCCATGGCGGGACAGTCCCGCAAGATATGTAGAATCGTCTCATCTCCACTGCTTAAAAGCCTATTTTATTCTCAAATAATGTTCTCTTGATCACTTATTACTTTTTGCCTTTTGCTTGAGTGGTTAATCTCATTTTTAAGTGGTTCTTCATCAATTTTCATTACACATAGGATAAATCTGTCGCGCAAGGTTCTTGAATTTGATATGAAGCTTTATTTCATGTTGCCTTGGATTTCTTCAGATGAAAGCTGCATAAGCCCATGTCACAAAACCTCTGTTTTGTTTTTCTAAGTATTTATCAGTTTGATGATTCTTTTGCATTAAATTGTTATGTAGGAACTTTGACTTTGAAAGAAGAGACAGAAGGTTTACAAGAACTAGACAATTCAGTGGAAATCCTGGTCCGGTTGGAATTGAAAAAATGGGCAGGTATGCTTGTTATTCCATCTGAATCTTCTTATATGTATTTTTAGAATTATACTCCCCCAAAATCATTTAAAGTAGTACATGAGCATATTATTTGGAAATGCAGGTTCATCAACAAGTCATTAAATCATCACTGACATATCTTCGACTGCGAAAAAGTTTATAAGAAGTGTGTCGTACTTTGCATTACTAGTTAGTAATATGAAGAAAAAGCTAGCTTCTGTTGATGAAAGCTGTATTCTGATGTCAGTTCTATTTTTTTATTGCAGAATTAGTTTTTAGCTCATTTTCCTGAGTTTTTGTTTTTATTTCCACTAGTGATCGAGATACAGATATAAAGACACGAGCCTCTGCTATGTAGTGCCATATTGCTTTCTGAAAAGCAGTTGGTCCTGGATTTGTTTCGATAGGGTATGTCCTGGTTCAATAACTTTTCTTTAACTTTTATTTTAACATGATTACAATGATGATTCATGGCTATTGTTTGTAGCTTTACAACATCACAGAAAGAGCACAAGAATCTCAAGGTTATTAGTAAAGGCTTGATATGGATGGTTTCGGCAGTTGATGACTTTGGTGTCCCACTTTTGAAAACTTAAGGTTCACCTGTTTATTAAAAACCTGCAGTATCTAAGTTATTTTCATTATGACAAAAGAGCTTTTTATGTCGATTTTGATAGATTTTAGTAAGGATGTTGGGATGCAATCTAGTATAGCTGGCACCAAAAATGCTACAATCAAACTTTTGGTCCAGGTGGCTATGAATTCCTTAAGCTGCTTCTGCTTTGTCTAACTTGTGTTTGTTAGAAGAACATATCTTAATATCTGATTAAACTGTGTTATTTCTGTTTGCAGATAACAAAGGGTTCTGAAATGTTGTCAAACCTGCACAACTAAGTGAACTTGATGCCGAATGTGAGAAAAAAATCCTTTGGATTTATTGTTTTTCTTGCTCTACTTATATTCTTTCATCAGGGGACTGCGGCTCCAAAGAGAGTTGTTAAGACGTCTGTTTCAACATCAACCTTTGCAAGAGGTCAGTAGCAAGATTAGCTTAATGATATGAGAATCCTGATTGGAAGGTGCTGTACAAATTGGAATGTTCTTTTGTTGTCTAAACCTAAAATTTCTTTTGCGGAATTACCCAATTTTACTTAAGCTTTAGAGTTGAAACTGAGTCTTGTAAACTTCTGTAGATGCGTTTGGAGTCAGTTGAAGCTGTAAATAAAATTCTTCAAAAGGCTAATAAACTTTGACTACCATTGGAGGTGTTGCAGCAGCTATGGGACCAGCTATCGAGAAGGCGAGCAAAGTTGGTGATACAAGTCAAGCATTAAAAATAATTTTTATACTGTAATATCACTTCCTGCCAGTTTTACCAAATACTTGAGTGATCTACTTCAGGGAATCTCTCAGGGACAACAAGAAGCACATGAGAGAATGCACCTTGACTGCTCGTGATTCATTTCTTAGGAGGTCAGGGCACATGTCTTCTGTTTGTTAATATCATTTCGTCAACTTAACAGTCTTTTTTATTCTGTTAATGCATATTCGTAACAGATGGGAACATGGGAGTATAAGGATGTAAAGATCTTTTTGATTGGTTGAAAAAACAGCTTGTTGGATTAAGTGACTTGGTGGATGCTATACATTACTAAAACCTGTAAGCACCGCAATGATGGTGACTCATCTAAAATTGTTATACTGCCTCATCAGCTTTAATGATTAATTTACATATGTTTGTACTGATTTCAATTTGTTATGCTTCTATGAATCTTTCTAGGAAAAATCAGCAAATTTGCAAAAAACAGTCGAAAGATGCATTTCAGAGATCTTGAGAGTCAGTGGACGAGAAACTGTAGGTATTCTTGTGTTAGCTTGTTATATTCATTGGATAGACCCCAAAATCTGATTGGTCGTGTACATTTCTCTCAGATTGAAAAGAATATCAAAGATATCTCAAGCCTGGCAATAGCTCTTATGCTTGAAAAAGTAAGACCATGATTTGTTCAAGGTAACTCTCCATGATCTGGTTGCCTAATTAGCATGCTCTTTCCTCTCCATTCCCTTTTTCTGTTCATGCTAACGATGTGTTTTTTCCTAACCATTTGAATCATCAAAAGCTTTGGGGCCAGAGTGTCAAAAGGTGTTTCAAAGATTTCAAAATCAACTTCTAGTGGTACATTGAAGCAATGAAATAGATCAGTAAGTTTCTGGCTCTTAACATATTTTCGTCTGTATTCAGTTTTGTATTTTGTAATGTGTTGCCCAAAGATTAGAAATAGTGATATTTGGTGGATGGGTGATAGATTTCTTGTTAAAAATAAATTGATATCTGATTCTCTAAATAGTTTTATTAAATCTCTATTTCAGAGCTATAACACTTAAAGATGCAAGGATGGTAGAGTTGGGAGAGGCAAACATTTTCTTAATACTTCATTTTAAGGTAAGTTGTTCCTCAAGTTTCTTTATGAAGAGTGAAGTAATTTTCTCTTTATTGCTCATATTTGATATCTCTCTTGCTTCATGCATATGCACAGGTCTTTGAAGAGTCAGGTAAAAATCTCTGCCTCTCTTATCAAGGTAAAAAGTTAACACAAACACCAAACATACAAACAACAACAACAACAAAAAAAAAATTCACGAACACTCAACACAATCACAAATACAAAACAAAAGACAATCAATCAAAACAAAGACTTCACTTTCACACAAGAATCGACAAAAACTCCACAAACTAAAAACTTCACATGCCACGAAACACAACACAAAAATCGACAAAAACAAACAAAACCCAACAAATTCTAAAACTAAAAACTTCACATGCCACGAAATACAACACAAAAATCAATGTCATATCTAGTCGCAATTCAATTTTATATGACGTAAATAAATGAGATTATTAGTGTATCTCTTCCGCAATGCACTTTTTAATTTATCATTCACTAGAAAATAATATATCATGATCATTTTAATACACTTTTTTTCTCCTTCTAAGTACTATACAAATTTTCACAATATTACTTTATCTTTCTCGATGTGATTCAGTGTTTGTTATTATTATGATTAATTATTTTTTTTTGGTAATGTAAATTGATGAACAGTAATTGCTTTAACCTTCTTTATGTAAAATTATCTTCTCTGGACTGGATGTAGGATTTTGCTGTTTTTGTAATGTGATATTTTTTTAAATAACAAAAACTTGTCTACAAAGAGGTTTATAGCAACTTTTTGTTTTTTTGTTTTTTTTGTTTATAGCAACTTATTATAAGTTTTTCTTCATACTGCCATCTAAAGAAAATAGATGTCCATAATTAAGTAGCAGTTGAAACTTGAAAGACAAACCAAGACGAATCCCAAAACGGAAACAGACTTAACCCAATGCTTCTCGAACATACATTTCATGGAATTCCTTTACATATGGCCCCACAAAAAGATGGCATATATACAATAATTGATGCTTCTACGTCGCCGCTTTTCTAAGAAAGAAACCATCTCCTTTATATAAATAATAATCTCTCCTCACCATTCATTTCCGATAACAAAAACAATCACAGAGAGAAAAACAATGGCTTGTATTCACATCGAATCATCACATCCATGGAAGACACACTCTGTCCAAGTGAAGAAACCAACAAATGCTGATGTTACATCGAACACAGTCTTACCAGAACACCACCACGACGGTGGTGACGGAGGAATCCAAGAAACGTGGGCCGCGATTGGAAACTCCATCGTAGGAGGAGGAGGCTATTTCGCCGGCGAGAGTAGGAATAAGAAGCTGGAGAAAAGGAAGAGCCAAGTGTTGCTTGAGGGATACGCTTTGGATGATAAAGATGATTTGACGAGAGCCAAGAGTTTGACGGATGATGATCTTGAGGAGCTTAAAGGTTGTTTAGATCTAGGGTTTGGTTTTAGTTACGACGAGATCCCTGAGCTTTGTAATACTTTGCCTGCGTTAGAGCTTTGTTACTCCATGAGCCAGAAGTTCTTAGATGATAAGCAACAAAATCACCACAAGTCCCCGGATGAAGATGATTCGCCTCCACCACCGACCACCACCGCTCCAATTGCAAATTGGAAGATATCTAGTCCTGGTAAATTAAATCTCTCAATCTTTGCTAGATTCCAGTGATTCTGAAAAACATTCTCTTGATTTGAATGTTTGATTCAGGTGATGATCCAGATGATGTAAAAGCTAGACTCAAATATTGGGCACAAACTGTTGCTTGCACCGTACGATTGTGCAGCTGAACAAGAATCGATCTTCTTCGTGTGTTTGTGATTGAACCAGGAAAAGACCGTCTTTGCAAGAATGAAGTCTCTGCCATTGTTAGCTGAGAATAGACCTGCAAATGGGTCTGTGGATAAACTGGTTTGGCTTTTACTTTAGCATTCTATGTATGTTATGTGTCTTAGTAGTATTCTTAGACTCTATGATTTTAACGACTTGGAAATAAATGTGTCAAGTGAATAAAAAAAACTTCAAATTCTTTGTCTACAATTTCTGCTGACTGTTTTGTTTGAGTGCAATGTGGTTGCTTTAACATCTAACATCTGAATTAGGGTTCTTGTCCTCTCATACGCAGTGATGAGATTTAGAGACACAAATCAATCTCCAACTGTTTTTTTTGAAGATCTCTGCTTTTGGCTGAGGTAACTGATCTAACTGTAACAGTTTTGATAACAATTTTATCTTCTGTATGCTTTTATGATCTTGTTTTTGTATCATTGGTAATTAGGCTTATATGATAACTTTGCTTCAATCACAAGATGTCAACAAAGAAAGCACATGACCTTTCTTTTATGTTCTTTTACATGTGATTCTTATCTTTTTGTCCCGTGGCTAGGAAAGAATCTGAAACGTTTTGTGGTCATAAGTTGTGAACACGCTTAAACGTGTCGTGTACGATAGGGCAACATCCTTCACATGTTCTTTTTTACGTACACAACTGTCTTATGGCCCAATAGAATTTATTATTCAACTTTTAATGTTTTGAGCTTTAAACGAGAGTCACATGATAATATGATATATCATCCCATGAAAAGACATCGAATACATCAATTATTTAAAACAAGAATGATAGATTTAAAGAAAATAAGTCTGCAATGTTGATGATTCTAAGATCATAATTTGGACCAAACGAAAGTTCTTGAAACTTCTTCTGATGATCAAGAAGAAGCCTGTCCCAACAGAGTTTGAACGTCCTTCTGCATAAACCAAAAACAAACCGGTCATTATTAAGATGGTTGTGTATGGATGGATTCCGGTTTAGGTGAAAGCCAGGATGGTACGTACCTCGAATTGAAGAGGAGAGGTTCTGGGAGAATATCTCTGTAAGACTTTGCCATCAGGAGAAACCAAGAATTTGGTGAAATTCCATTTGATGGCATCAATGAGCAAACCTCCTTTCTCTGCTTTCAAGTATTTGTATAATGGCGCCGTGTTTTTCCCGTTCACATCCACCTACATTGCCATCAACATTTCCGTCAAGTATTTATATATATACACTACTCTTTTTCTTTCACTATTAGACAATCATCATTCCTCATTAAGTTACTTATACACAAACTCACATCTCTTAATAATGTTGTAAAGATCAATCATTAGTAAAACATTAATCAATGAAATAGAGAAGTGTGATAAAGACAAAATGAATTACCTTGTCAAAGATGGGGAATTCAGCTTTGAACCTGGTGCAGACAGTTTGTTGAATCTCTTCATTGTTACCTGGTTCTTGTCCTAAGAACTGGTTACAAGGGAATGCTAATATCTCCAACCCTATTCATAATTTGTTACATGTATTTAGTTCCAGTCACAATTAAAACCGGGTTAAATTTTGTGAGAGTAGATATAAATCACAGACCTTGCTCCTTGTATTTCTCGTACAGAACATTCAGTTCCTTGTAGTTGGCATCAGTCAGACCACTGCAAGTTAATAAGAAATTTCAGTTTTTATTTCATCTATTTGATTGACTTTAAGCAAAATCTTGAAATTTGAACAAACGAAGACCAATATGACTAGAATCTTTGTTTATATTTTAACAAAGCAATATCGCAGTTAAGAACAAAGGACAGGTACTAATCAAACCAAACTGAACCGGATTGATCAACTACTAATTTCACAAGATCCTTACGTTTATATATATTTTGAATCTGGTAGATTACAAATACTATCTTGCATATATAACTAGGCAATGGCTTCTAACAAAAATAAAAATAAATAAATTGACAGTGAAAAAGGATTTTTACCATTTGGAAGCAACATTGACAATCAGAAGAGTTTTGCCTTTGTATTGGTTCAAACTCACATCGTTACCTCCGATATCCTGCCATTTTCATGAATAAAATATAAACACACATAGTTTTTTTTTTTTATAACAAACCTTAATTCTTCATCTATATTCTTTTGCCTGAGATCGAACTTTGAAAATTTCGCTATCTTATTTTTGGATCAAACCTTATGGTTTTTCTGTTTATTTGAATTAAGAATCTAAGACTAACAATAATGAAAAAAAAAAAACATTGAGAGAAAAAACCTTGACGGTGAAGTCGTAGATAGACTTTGGAGATTCATCCGCCATTTGCAGTGTCTATGGTCTCTCTCTTTGTCTGAGTTTTTAGTTTTGAAGAAAGAAGAGAAGAAATATAAATCTTTTAAATTTATTAACAAATATTTGTATTTATATATGGTTGAAAAATGTTATAAGATCAGAATGCTTTAAATGACGAATCTCTTGTGACGAATGGTGGGGTAAGCATCCACGACTTCATATTGATTGCTTACCCATCTTATTTTTATATTTTTCTTATTTTTATCTTTCATTTGATTAATCGGTACATGAATACAAATATATGGTTTAAAATTAAGAAATGCCAAATATAAAGGGAAACATATAATTCAATTTTTTTGCGTGTTAACTTACACGAAATTTATTTAATATTAACGGAATTGGAAATATCAAATTGCCACCTTTCAAATATTCCAAATGACCACTACAATTCACTTTCATATTAGCATTAACGATGATTAATGGAAAAATCTGTAGTAGGATTCCCTACCAATTATGGTTTCCAATGTTTGACCTGATTTTTCTTAATAATAGCTTGTTCAAAAAGCAAGAAACCTTGTAAATTAGGAAAACATCTAGAATTTTCAGATTTTAAGTTATTATAGCAGTTGTCACGTAAAAATAGTATTGTAACAAAATATCATTGGCTTTTTTCAATGTTTTTTTTGTTTTAGACTTGAGAGACCAGATCAAGAAATTTATTATATCTACTAGATTCAGTTATTTTTCTGTTAAATTGATAGACTTAAAAGTAATAAAATCAAATCAATTTGGCAAAAAAAAAATTATACTTTTGTTCTGGTGTATTTCCTACTCATCACTTACAATATTCACATTTTTTCACCAAATGTATACATGTACATAAAGTCGGATTTAAAAATGGAATGAGAACAAAACATATTTCAGAATCTAACCACCATACTTGAAAATTTTAGTCTGTAGGTCTTATCAAGTAGTTGGACCGACCTAATAGACATTTGAATTACTAGTATACAACAACATGATAGAAAATTATTAATAATACGCTCTCTATTGACTACATTAAAAAAAAAAATGGAGAGGATAAAGTTACTTTTACGTAACGCAGGAGAAGTTAGCAGTTGGTCGGTGCACAGGTATGGTGTGAATTTAATGTTTTACATATCTCTATCTCATATACATGTGAGCTAAGGTTTACCTCGTATAACACATGTTGTTGAAAAGAACTAGAGGTGTACGAATTGGAGATTAAGAATTTGCAATAAATTAATCTTACAAGTGAAGTAAAATACTAAAATGCAGCTGTTTATGAGTAGCTAAGAATGTGTGGGTGTTCTTCCCAGAAACTATGTTCGATGATGTTGCAATGATCTACGACCACTTCTCCTTCCAGTTTCTTCCCTGAAACTACTCCATTCTCAGCTTCCTGAAAAGAATATTCAGACAGCTGTTTAACAGGTAACTACAAATATCAAGCTCAATGGAAGATCATGTTCCACACTGTTCAAATGCTTGATGAGTTTGATAAGAAACGAGTAACAAACCTTGGCGGGTAGTAGTTACATTTCAGGTTTGGTATATGATGTAGCCATTTACGAGTTAATAGCCAAAGGTTTTAATTGATTTTTACGATAAGAACAGAGTTAGTTTGGCACTTATGAAGTTTCTTCAGCCAGTCCACTGTATCCTAATCTTTCTATGCATAGATTTAAAGTTTGATAATTAAGGCAATACTAACCTTTCGGCGGAAAACCGAAGAACCCATTCGAAAGATTACAGGTAATGCGTTGTACTCAATTCCAAATTGACGGCTAAGCAGCTCATTTTTTTCTCGTGTTTGGGTACCCTGGAAAAGACACTCACAGAGAGCAATATAAGAACTGTTTTAAGCATTGACTAGTACTTGAGAATGAAATTTTTATCCATCATAACAAAGTACCTTTAAGTAATCTTGGGATTGAGTTTTGGTTTTTCCAGACTTAACAAGCATCCAGAAACATGTATTGTACTGATTATTGATGTGGCCTGCCAAACGAAAATCAAAGAAAACATGAGAGTATTCATATCTAAAATTTCGGAAAGATATAGATGATTCCAAATCATTTATCACAGTGTTATTATACTCACAGTCAACTTGTCTCCAGGCCAGATAATCCAAAAGAATATTGTGTGTTGGATAGCATACAGCTCGTCCATCGAATGATGGAGGGTACTTCATTTCTTTGTGAGGGAAAAATTCTCCCCATTGTAACACATACGTCGATGTAAAGAAGGATGTGATTGCGGATATTATTTTACTGCAATGCAATACTAGAAATTAAGACAAGAAAATTAGGGAGATAGTGTAAGGGAAAAGAGAAATGTAGTTTAACCTGGATTGTCTTTTGTAGAGCTCGGATTCTTTCTTCAAAACAAAGCTGCAATCGATGATGAACTTAATTAATATCTAAGATATGTGAAAGCTGAGATAAACAGGTTGAGAGATGGACACCTGTACTCATCACTGACACCATAGGCAAAGTGAATATCCTCAAACTCCTCGAGAACAGCCACTGCACATGAATTCATAAGTTTCAGAGCTTGCTCATCATTTGGCTTCTCAAATTCATGAACGTCAGAAAATCTATCAAAATCCAAGCAAGCTCCATGAGTTTCATTTGCAACATAGAACACTAGTAAATAGTAATCAGTAATAAAATGACTTCTTTCTGAAAATGCGAGTTCAGATTCAAGAATCACAATATTCCCTAGACAAAAGCAACCACAACAGAACATATGAAAACTGAGCAGGCCAGCCCTGAGCAGGCCAGCCTAGCTGAATCCTATGGACCGCAATGACTTTACTAATCTAAGGCTTCAATGCAATATAATGACTGACAAACTTATAAGAGATCAAGACGATAAGCTATAGAAAATTACCTGTGAAAATGACAGCCATCAATCCTAACCACGACCCAGGTTAAAGGTAACAATTTGTTCTCAAACTGAAAGGACCTAATAAAATCTGGTTCAATTTTTCCAATGTCTTTCGTGAAGTGGCCAAGATCATTACATAGAGAGGGCTGCTCATTCCAAAAGCTTCTTCCGGCAATATTCTCCGAATGTACAAAAACAGCCTTTCTCCTCGATCTTTTTACAGGATTTCCATTCTCATCATGCTTTACAGTTTCTTCTACCTGAAGTTAAATGAAAGTATGTTACTGGAAATTTACAATAAGTCTTAGGTGTATTGCATCAAGCAAATTTATTGTGAACATCAAGCAAAATGCAATGATAAGAGAAGATCTGTAAAGTCAGTTTTAAACCTGAACATCAACTAAGCTGAAGTAATAGTTGGCTAGATTTTACAAGGGTTCAGACAACTGAAATTTACAAATTACAATGCATAAGCCTAAACGTACATGTGTACCAACAATATTGTTCAACAAACTAAGATTACTAACATTCATAGAGACTCCACTTACAACTGGAAGGCCTAAATTTCTAAATACATACACATCACATATCAAAGCAAGTGCTGTATATATAATTTGTAACAAAAGATATAAACTATCACCTTTTTCTTGAAAAGACAAGATCCTTGCCGAGACAATTCAGGAAGCGTTTTGTAATTGATACCAAATTTCTGAAAGAGAAGCTCATTTTTCTGCTGTTTTTGTGTATCCTGCAGGTATAGAAATCGTGTGATCAAACAATGTAATATCATTACTAAGCATGAAACTTGGCTTAAGAAGGTAAAGGGCCATTTTGACATCTGTATTAGAAAAAAAAAAAATTCTAGTCGTAGTGTATCCTGCAGACAAAAAACATTGATCTCTGCCATAGAAAAGCACGAACAACACACCTTTAGAATCTCTTGGGTTTCACTTATGCTCTTTCCACTCTTAACTAACATCCAGAAACAAGTGTCATACTGATTATTGGCGTGGCCTGCAACCAAAAAACAAAAACGAAACTAGTTTGCAAAGATAATTCACGCCAATAAGTATAAATAATATCCAGAACACAAAAAAAATCAAAGAATATGTGTCGAGTACAATATATATGTTGTCAGAATGTCTTACAGTCATGCTGTCTCCATGCGACATAAGCTTGAAGAACCTCTGCGGATGCACAACTTACAACTTTTGAACGGAAGGAAGGAGCATATTCTAATTTCTTTTGGGGAAAGAAGTCTTTCCATTTTGTTACATAAATCGCAGCAACGAACGAAGCTACCAACGACAAAATCTTACTGCATATAAACCAAAAACAAGAAAGTAAAAAACTATGAGTCAACCAGACAAAAGAAAACTCTATATAATTGTGTAAAAGGTCTCTTCAAGTGAACTCGCTTCTGAACAAGAAACATTGATAAATTTTAATGGAATCAAAACCTGGCTCGTCTCTGGTAGAATCTTGATGTTTTCTTGAATACAAAGCTACAAAAGACATGGAAAACAATTAAAATCGTGTACATGACATATCCATAAAGGTGTAAAAATCTAAAACAGATAAAGTCAATGAAGTGAATTTAGGACCTGTATTCGTCACTGTATCCATAAGCAAAAATGATGTCAGGAAACTCTTCCAAAACCGCAGCTGAACATGAATTCATCAAATTGAGGGCTGTTTCATCATTAGGCCTCTCAAACTCATGAACTTGGGAAAATCTATAGTTACCAAAGAAGGTAAGCAGGTGTCAGTAAAAAGCCCAAAAAAAAAAAACATTCTTTTAGGAACAATGTGAAATCATGCTTCCAAAATCCATTAAAGACGCAGCTTTTAATCATTATTTTCCCTCAAATTGTTCCAGAGATGCTACAATCTACACACCATCACCATTGACATTGTATGGAATAAAAGCGAGGAAAAAATTACCTAGAAAAATGACGACCATCGATCCGAACAACCATCAAGTTAGGAAGCATGACTTCATCCTCCAATTCGAATGACTTCACATACTCGTATTTGCTATTCGCCATATCCTCACGAAAGTCTCTGCTTCTTCTTTCTTCTTTGTTCTACTCTCTCACTTTGAAACTTTCAGCAGACACAAAAAAAAACACTGCAATCGAACCGGATACTAAACCGAAAGCTGAGCCGGTTCTCTACACCATCATTATCGTTAATCCAATTTTTTTTTTAACTGAAACCAGGCAGGTGTGTGTGTTCAGTTGACTAGGGTTCCATCGGTTCGATTGAAACCGCTTTCTTGCTATTAATATTGAAAACCGGATTACATCTAAACCGGTCAGATTTGGTTCTCTTTTAATTTCCGGTCGTTGCTTGAGTTGTGACCATTCCGGTTCCCCTTCAAATTATTTTCCTAAATTCTAAACCGGATAGCCAATATTGAAGTGTTCCAAGTTTTGGCTAGCCATAATTTCGAAAATACAATTTGTCAATTGCAATGCCTCGTTGCCTGAGTCTCCCATTGGCCATTAGACCATTACAATTTCACATTCGCTTTTCACAAGTAAATTGTACAAATGATCAAAATTGCAACAAAACTGAAATGGACATCTCCAAATGTTAGAATGAGTGCCAACACACAAGTTCTTATTGAGCCTATGAAAAGAGTAGAATCTTCATCTCAATAAACTACCACTACCTTAGCTACTATACCCTACCGGACACTGTAACAAAACCTCTCTTAATAGCTCAGCGCAGATAAACAACATCTGATACCTACAGGACACTGAAACAAAATCTGTAGAAGAATCAGAGCGCAACATATAAGTTTTATTTCACTTCTTAGAATCATTAGGCAAAGATCCTCACCTTTTCCCTTCTGGACATACACTGAAATAACTCCTGGGAACGCTAACAGCTTGACTCAGCTTGTATTTTCTTCTTTTACTACACTTTTAAGTTTACAATCCTTGTGTGGATTTTTTCGTTTTGCTTGAATATGATGCACAAACGCAGCTACTATAACATGGAGCTTCGGAGGAGGCTTGCTTGTTGAAGAGACATTGTGACCAGCATCCTTTAAAGCTTTAGCAACATGCTTTTGGGCTTTCTGGAAGTGTACATTACAAAGTACAGGAACAGTCGACCCAAGTGTTGGTTTTCCACAAAGTAATGGTCCTGATGGCGCTCTGAATGTACAATCCAAACAATGCAGAGTTAGGAGAGAACAGCTTAAAATATCATTATACTGTATATGCTAATTACAAACCAGTAAACAAAATTACCTATATATGAAACCTAATGTTATTAAAACCCAAATCTGAAACCTGGTTTATGTTTTAATACTACCCACAATGGGACTATTCTAACTCAACTACATTTTCACAGAGTTTCATCCCGTTGTTCAGTTAAAACTCATTGTTAAAGATGAACTAGTTATGCTAATATTCATAATCCTACCTCATTTGCAAAGACACATCAATAGAGACATCTTTTGTCAGTTATGTATATCAACCGGAATAACGCAGCACATCAATCAAGTTTATAAAACATAGCCAAATCTAGAAAAATGGTTACCGAGGATCACTATATTGGTGTCCAAAGCTAAAACTTCACCCAAACTCTATGGAAAACTTTGAAAAAGAGCCAAGTGTCAATCCCAAATCCTTTCTGCAAACTTGAAAAAATGAAACATAACACAAACTGTGTTTGCCGTTTTAATTCATCAGCACTACAACACCTTAACCAACTATAATATGTAAAGAACACAACTTGAAGCACCAATTACTTTGTTTTATACGAGAATTTCAAAACCAAAGAAAGAGAAAGTGAAACAAACCGTTTAATGACGTTTGTACAACCAGTGTAGAGCTTCTGCTTACTATCCTTAAGAATATGGAGCTGACAGTATCTCGTAAGCGCCATAGCTTTAGCTTTGCATCCATACATACAACTCCCACTGTTACTATTCGCATACTGATCACTCTTAACACCATTACCACCATCATTGTTATTACCATTATCTCCACTACCTTCAACAGCATCACCATCTCCGATATCTCCCTCTTGACCAAGCCTCCGTCTCTTATTCGATTGATTATGTTCGTCTTTAAATGGACTAATCCCATACTTCCACCAATAATCCCTGTGTTGCGCCTTGACATCCTCCATTATAGCCCAATAATTGTCTCTATAACACTTGGCGAGCTGCATCAGGTTGCGTGATCGGCGATGGAGAAGCTCCGGGCGGGTTAGGTGACTGGAAAGTGCGAGGATTTCATCTTCTTGTGACATCGTAATCGGTAAATTCGAAGTCGACGGTAAAACGTTTGTGCTAGGGTTAGTGTTTAAGGTAGGGTTCCGTATTTGGGGTTCGGCTGAGGTGGAAGCCACGGCGGAAGTAGATGCAGCGCCGGAGGAAGACGGAGGCCTTGGCGGTTTCGAGGAGAAAGGGTTTTGCTGAATGTTCTTGGAAGCTGACGCCATTGCCGTCGTCGGGAAATGACAGAGCTTCAAAATCAGAGATTTTTGTCGGAAGTGAAATTATTAATTTTAAAAAATAATATTAACAACTTCCAATTTTAAAATTTATTAAAAGCCCATTAAATGTCCATTAGGCCGGATTATTCAACAAATAGGCCCAAATTCAATTTGATGTGAAACCTAAGTTTCTGAATTAGGTCAATATAAATACTAAAATCATAGTATCTGATAACGAACACGAGCTTACCGATTCTCTTTCGTCTCAACATTTAGGGTTTCAGAGATCGGCTTCCGATTTTCACATCAACAAATATGGCGACTCAAATCAGCAAGAAGAGAAAGGTGAATTTCTGATTTCATTTTTTGATTTCAATGGATTTCTCACGCTGTATCGTATTGGAACTGAATTGGTTACTGTGTTTGTAGTTTGTAGCAGATGGTGTATTCTACGCTGAATTGAATGAGGTTCTCACAAGAGAGCTTGCAGAGGATGGTTACTCTGGTGTTGAAGTTAGGGTTACTCCAATGAGGACTGAGATTATCATCAGAGCTACACGTACTCAGAATGTTCTCGGTATGTTTGTTGATCGTTTCTTCTCTTTCGATTTAGGAACTGTGAGAATGTGTTTTCGAGATCTGATATCGAAAATGTTGCGTTTTTAGGAGAGAAGGGGAGGAGAATTAGGGAATTGACATCTCTTGTCCAGAAGAGATTCAAGTTTCCAGTAGACAGTGTTGAGCTTTATGCTGAAAAAGTTAACAACAGAGGTCTCTGTGCCATTGCTCAGGCTGAGTCTCTACGTTACAAGCTTCTTGGTGGTCTTGCTGTTCGCAGGTATGACATTTCTCTAGTTTTTTTTTTATGTTTTCTCTTGCGATTTGTATATTACTTGTTTGATTAGATATAGCAATTGTGACTGTTACTGAGCTATTGATTTTGTTTAGCTTACTTGGCCTTCTAAGCAGTTTAGGATACAACTGGAATTGTATTTCTCTGTGGGGTTTCTTTAAATGCACACGCTTCGTGGGTTTTGTGTAATTGTTATGTCTCTATCTACTAGAGCACTCTGATCATACATAATGTTTCACTTGAACTTCTCATCGTTAATATTGCTATGGTTGTTTGCTGTACAGGGCCTGTTATGGTGTTTTGAGATTTGTTATGGAGAGTGGAGCTAAGGGATGCGAGGTCATCGTGAGTGGAAAGCTCCGTGCTGCACGTGCTAAGTCGATGAAGTTCATGGATGGTTACATGGTTTCATCTGGTCAACCAACTAAGGAATACATTGACTCTGCAGTGAGACATGTTTTGCTTAGACAGGTCAGTTTTCTCCTGAGTTTCTTATTTTCCATATAGTGAGTTAGTTATACCGGCTTTGTCTAATATTGTCCGCATGTGCAGGGGGTGTTGGGAATCAAGGTGAAGATCATGCTTGATTGGGATCCTACGGGAAAATCAGGACCAAAGACACCATTGCCTGATGTCGTGATCATTCATGCTCCTAAAGATGATGTTGTCAACCTCGCGCCTGCTCAGATTGCTGCTCCAGTTACTCTTGTGCCAGAGGCTCCACTCACAACCGTAGATTACCCTGAGATGATTCCTCCAGTGGCCTAGAGAAGACCTTTTTTTACTATTACTCCATGGGATCTTGTTCTTTTTGTTATAACTTTGCTACTTCTTTTGACAGTCGCTGGTCGTATCTTTTATATCCTCAAATCAGTCGAGTTTTTTCTCATGTTGTTTCTTAACCTATGTCAAAGTTTTGTGGAGGTTGAATGCTTTTAGTTCCATGAATTTTTTGGTCTTAAGACTCTTAATAATAAGAACAAGAATGACGAGTATCCATGTATATTTGATGTAAATAATTAGTACATGTAACAAGTAACTTGTTAGACATATCGAAAAAGACTAAAGAGACAACAAACACATTAATACAAGTTTAACATTTGGATTACTGGTCCTTATAAGATATCTTACGAGATTGGGAGAAAAATTGTCAAAGATTTTAGATAATCCATTCTTTATTATAAATACTCACTGGTTAAAGATTTCTGTCAAAAAAAAAAAAAAAAAAAAAAATCCACTCTTTCCTATGATGATATAATTATTTACTCACTGGTTAACTAACAATCTAGTGCAAATAATCTCAAAAGGTGTTTTACTCGGAAGACTTTTTTCGAACATCAAAAACTAAATATTTGGAGCTCTCATGAAATGGTCTTTTATGCTTTTACAAAAGGGTAAAGCTCATATCTAAAAGTACAACTCGGATTCAAAACTCTTCCTCCTTGTTTACCGTTGCAACACCTGGGAAGCTTCGCAATAATCGAATCCAAACACACACTGCAATTTTTAACCGATAAGTCTTGTGTACACTGCATCATTCCGTACAATTTCATCGTCCCGAGACTTTCTTCCCCCGTCGCATACATGTAGTCTTTTGTGTAAGGCTCTTGTTCTTTACGAGTTGTTTTCTCCTTCAGCTTATATAGGAGAGCCCTTGTGTTCTTATTGAACAACTTTGTATTGCCGTTCACATCTTTGGCATTGTGCAAATACAAATAGTGCTTGTAATCGACCTTCTGAAAGGTATATATCTCGGAAATGTAGAGAAAACAGTTGTCGATCGTACCATATTATTCTCCCTTTGTTGTTCGGACATCTCCTAAGAATCTGTCACATATTTACAATATATATAATTATGTTCGGACATATTTCCTAAGAAATGATAAGATATAACTAAAACTGGCGTATGCATGCCATTTCTATTTGTAAGTATATGTGACGGCTAATCAATAATATTGAAATGACGTTACCACAGAGAAGGCGGTATAGAGGCAAGAGCGGCACTTGGATTCGGAGGCATCGCCCCGACATAGGACCTTGATGTAGTAGGTCTTGGAACCCGCACCACCTACACCGTGGACGAAACCGTAGTCTAGAATGTTAGACATAATGTCGAGATGATCTTTGAGTTCGCTCTCGTATGAACTCTTCTGCTTGTATGTTCCTTCACTGTTGATGCATATGTGTTGCAGATACGAATTGGTCTGGTTTAGGGACAGAACATTGTGGATAAAAGAGAGTTGCATGGCCACCACGGCCAAGATAGAGATCGATACAGAGGAAGAAGACATTTCGAACATGTTAGATATTTTGATATTTGCTCATTTCAGTTTGTAGAAAAAAATGTCTCTCTAGCTAGTCTTTTAAGTGACAAGAGAGAGGAGTTTTTGGGTTTGAGACTTGGTATTTACGGCGAGGGAAAAGGAGGACCGATGAAAAAGTCAAAAGTTGAAAAGGTTTGAAACTATTAAAATCTGAATTTACTCTACATTAAAATTTCAATTTGTTCCACCATATATAGCTATAAGCCTCCATGCAAATCAATATACATCTCAAATAACGTACCAACCAAATGTATAGGGGAGCTTATTGTGATATAGTCGTTTAACAGAGAAGCAAAAAAGAGGACATGTAGTTATGTTTGAAGTTCATGGCTTTTGACTGAAAGGAGAATCACAGAGGAGAGAGTTCGATTTCTTGAGTGGAAGGCCGATAAGCTACAAAGGTGCTATCAGTTGAAAAGGAGCCTGGATTAAAACATGTTGCTCCCCCAAATTTGCATACCTTTTTGTCACTCTTGTCACCTAATACTATATGTATTCCAAACAATATCAACAAGTCAACAACAATCCTTTCTTGTTTTAAGGCGGGTTTCGCGTTTCCAAACTTGGTGGAATTGGATCTATAATAAGAAGATTTAAGAATGTACCGTGTAAGGAGTTGGATATAGTCGTAGACAGTGATCATAGTTCCAAATTATTGGTTGAAACAAGAGAGGTAGAGGACATAGATGGCTCTGATGAATTAATTTGGAGACAAGCTGAACCAACATGTACATTTCACAAGTTTCAGATTATTCGGAAAACTGTAAAATCAATAGTTGGGAAATTATTGAGAGGAGAGATGTGTTTACGTGTTCAAAGGGGTCATTAGTTTCTTCTGAGGAAGGTTTTAACAAGCGTGAACGGATCATCCGGTACCACAAGGTCTTGTCGGAAGAACACAATCTCCTGATTGTAGACTAGAACTCTCCATATGACTAAAAACCATAATGATGAACAATAGAGAGTACTTCACAAGCAGAATAGATAACTCACCTGCAAGGATTGCTTGAAAATATCGCATTGGGAATAACTTCTCGAAGCTCTTCGGTTGAATACTCTGGTAAACCGCATCTTGGCAAGACTGTCAAGGGACGTGTCGGATATAATGAGGCATGTTTCCTCATGGCGACCCTGGCTTTATTTATATGGTGATGGAGATTGTACCTGCGTCATCAGGACCTGGAATGAATAAAAACCGACTGTTTGCTTTTTAGCCTAGGACGGTTTCCAATCATTCTCCCAAGTTTACCAAATTGCTTCCTGAAAATGAAATGGATGCATGTCCTCAAGAATACATATAAGAATAGATTCTCGATCACATTTGAGGAGATTATAACTACAATGATCTCTTAAACCTTAGACTTGTATAAGAACCAAACAATAAGTTGCATGGGCGAGAACAGAAGTTTCCCATGAAAACACACAAAGTGGGCACTATCTCCACACTTTCAAAACCATCAAGAACCGTAATGCTCTTTAAGCCCAAAAGGAGGCATTATAACAAAGATTGAAGCTAAAGATACAGTAGTTAGTACTCCAGCTCACCTCTTCACCTTCCAGCCATATGACAAATGTGTCGTTCACCGCTTTTCTTTCCAGGTCTGCAAGTCTAATCTGTGATCAGAGGCAAAAAGTACATTTATTTATTTTCTGCTGTGACTTATTTATGTAAAAGGCATCAGACTGGAAATTTACAACTTTCTCAATCCAGAAAAACAAACGACGACTCAGGGATTACCATCTCATCTTTAGTTGGCCTGCCACTTCCAAAGAAGTAGTTTTCAGAATGTATACTTAGTGTTTTATCCCTGTCTTCTAAATGAGGAAATCCGCATGCAATCACCTTTACCAAATATGAGGGAAAAAAAAAGACTTTAGAAGAGGACGAGTTAGTCAAAATATGTTCACTAATTGAATTCTGATATTTGTGACAGGCCATCATCATTCCACTGATGGGAACATACATTTGTATATTCCATTATATTGAATCTATTCAAGAGTGTTTTGGGAGACTTGTGTACGTATTTTTAGTAACAGAGGAGACCATACACACGACTTAGTTCTATATTCCCACCTAACTCTAACATCTTAATAAATCAAGATGAACAACAATCGATTAAAAATCGTAGTTCCTATGAATGCACACTGAAGGATATTCTAGTTTACCTGAAAGATACCATTGTGCATTTCACCTTGTGCCAAAATGATAGTATTCTCTGAGAAAATTCCTGTGGTCATCTTGTACTGATTGTCATAGAAAAGTAGTCATAATGCAATTTTTTGGCTGTCCCTATATAACTCCAGATTGTCAATGGTACTAGTACCAAATAAGCATATTGCTTTGGACAAATCAATCTTTACACAAGCTGAAAGGTATTCAAGGTAGAAATGTCCATCTTCCAACTGTGATATCAAGCCCATCACCCATCTCTTACTCTTTCTTTTCTAGGTATCTTTTGAAAATCCCCAAGTCGGCGGGAAACGAATATCGGAAGAAATCTTTTGAATTTTCTAATATTTTATTTACACTATTGCCCCTCCAGCGACAGTGAAACTAAATCAGGTTGGCTTTTTGATTTCCGGTTAAACGATTTAATCACACAAAAACACTAGTAACAACCAACAATAGTAATGTTAAGGGTTATATATAAAAGCCGGCAAGCTTGTTAAATTGGACAAACCAAACCACAGTTGGCACTGCAGATGTCTTTGGGAGACTGCGGTTCCAAATCTGAAGCAGTTGGAACCTTAAGACGAAGATTATGTTATTTTTATATCCGAGTTGGTCACTGGTGAAATATCTCTTTTTGGGAAAGGACTCAAGTTTAAGTACAAGCCTGGAATTATAATGGCTTTACAAAAAGAGTCACTATGATCAGTGTAGTTCAACTACTCACTAATTAGTCTCTCTGTACAAAAAAAATCGAGTGTTGCAAAGCTAAACAATAACATATGCTCTCAGTGTAAAGAGCTACAACATTATAAAGGGATGATTGTTACTACCTCTATAGTTTTAGTCAGCCTATTATTCGGTCCAGTCTATTAGTTCACAACGAGGAACACATATTTTCGACTGTTGTGCTTCTGCTTCTGTATCATTCACAACACCTCGACACCCTTGGAACCCACATGAACATGAAAGGCGCTCACCGATTGAAAAGAACCTGTAAATTACAAGATCAGTGGCAGTAGAAGCATATGATTTATAAAATATCTCAAATGATTTAAAGGGCAAAAAAATGAAACCTATAGTCATAGGTCAGCTCTTCCCATATAGGGATATCCCTCTTTGCGAAAATGATAATGTGCTCCTCTCCATTAACAGTGATGACTCTTGAATAGCAATTGGGCTGCATAAGTGGAAGGCAATAAATGCTTACTCCTTTTTTTGCAGATGCTAACCAAATTGAATACAACCAACTAAGTTTAACGGATCATAGTCATTACCACACAGGAATGATTAATAAGGTGGGCAATGCTTCCTGCCCTTGTAGCATCTATGACTCGTTTATCATCAATTCTAAACATGTAAGTCCCTGCACCCTGTCACATAAGAAAATTTTCCTTTTCTCAGATATTGATTAATTCATCGGCATCCAAGATTTATACTATTAAGGGAATGTTATGAAAGAATATTGCTCGAAGAAGAAGAAAACAAAAGGTAAGGAAAATACATAAAAATTACTGTTTTAGATTATGAAGGTACAGGTTAATCCGACTGATTGTTCCATTACTGGTTATTGAATTTTACGTCTAGAACCAAAATGTAGAAGTTAGTAAAGTAAAAAATACGTACCACCATTGAATTGTAGATAAGACGTTCTCTTTTGTCAGCTATAGACGGTCTAACAAGTTCTCCGGTGTATTCAATCATCTGCACAGGAATCATAAAATGTTTCATGAGCGACACTTTCCAAAGATGAAGAAATGTCCAGTTCCAGGTATGCTCACCATATCTCCGGCCTTGTGCGGAAGTTTTGCGAATATGCCAAAACCATGAATTCCTGATTTCCCTGAAAACAGAAAAAAAGAACGAACTTCTAGAAGATCTTTCTGAAAGAAGCTTAGGATTGTGACTAGATCATTCTGAAAGGAATCCTACAAACTATTTTATCTTACAGAAATTAAAGAAGTAAGAATGCTTACCAAATGCCAGTCTCTTCCTGTATGTTTCCTTCATGTATCTATATTTCTCAGCCATAGAAAGAATGTTGCTTGGAGTATTCATCTGTGACACCTTGGATCCGTGAATGCATTCATAAGTTGAAAACTCAATTTTAGAATAACCACCAATAACATATGGCTGATTCTCAACAAATAACCGTTTTGAAGAAGCAGCAGCAAGAGCTTCAGGTTCCTTCCGCCCTCTTCTGCCAAAGCAATTATAAGGCTCTGCAACAATAGAGGAAATTATGTCGAAATTATCATCTATACTGACCCATAGTATGCAAAAACGAATAAAAGTAGAAAAGAATGAAAACAAAAAATGCATAAGACTAGAACTTTGTATCAAATATAAAAAATGTTTGAATAGAAAATTAGAAACTACTATCTTAAGAGGATATGTAAGAACATGAAAGAGAACAAAACACACATGGCCATATGCGAGGTAAAAGAATAATGATGAAATAATCCTATCCCAAAAGTGTGGTGTAAATCTAAATTTTAAGCCTAGCATCCACAGATCAACGCAGTAGCTACATTACCAGTCCGAGCAGAGCCAGATGGATTAGGTGGTGGGAGATACTCGGAAGTTTTCTGAGTAACGGATTTGATCCTGTTTTCTGATCCTAGGCAGGCAGTCGATGTTTGTCGATGCCTCTTGCAGAATGAAAGCATGCGGATACACTGATCTGCTTCTTCATCCTCCACTGACTGAAGAAAAAGTCTATCCTCATTCTCAAGCTACATGGACAGTCAGGAAAGCCATAATCAGTTAGAAACATCTCTTCTGTGGATTTGCTGTGTTTGAGTACATTTGTGTAAGTGCGAAAGCAAAATTTCTGATTCCCTGTAAGATATGGAAACTACCTCAACACAGAGACCAGCAGCTCGCGCGCAGAGAGGATGATATGCCACACGACAAGAATTGTTCGAACACTGAAAAGAGAGTCATTTAAAAAAAAAAAAATTATATATATATAAAAAAAAATTATATATATATATATATATATATATATATATATATATATCAACTCTTGATGGCCTTTGACTGTCAAAATGGCATGCACAGATGCACAGCCGTTTAAATAATATATGTAGCGACATTCCATTATTCAGAACAGGCACGAGATAATTGACACAGATAACTGTAACTTCAGCAGATATTACAGGGCACAATTTCAAAAATCTAGATCAATAAGGAAACTGCATGGGACTTAAATCTCAAACAGTTGACAGAAAAAAAAAAAACAATATTTAAGTTCTAATATATCCGCTGAAAGACTCATAGATTCCACATTACTGTCAAGTGGACTTTGAATATGCATATCATTTCTCGAAAAAATCCAATAAGTTGATATTTCTGTAAAAGTCCCCAACTTCGGAAGCAATAGAAAGTCCAAAAGGGTTTACAGGAATGATCAGAAAATTATGCTACATTTTTCTACTGAAAAAGCCAGTAATATTGGCAGCATTTTCATCAGGCAATTTCAACTAGATTACTGTTCTATTTGAATAGAACACAATGCATAAGAATGATTCAGTTTCTCTTAGCAAAGAACGAAATCTTACTTGGATACAAGCTCCATAAGATACCCCGCAGATGGTGCACATTAATTTCCAGCGATCCTAGTTTTAAGAGTAAGGAAAAAGAGGAAGAGGGATAAGAGTTTTGAAAAGGCCACAGTACCAAGGTAAAGGAAACCGAAAAAGAAAATGAATACGTACCTTACTGACTTTATTCACCCCATCAATCGGTTCCATTTTCTTGACATCAGATAAACATGTTTCTGGATGAAATAACAAGTGTTAATTTGTAAACAGGAAAATAATACGGCCTCCTATTCTTCAGTAGAAAGACTTATACAGAACAACAAATCATTAAGATTGAACCTGGGATCCATATAGCACAAGCAAGATGAGCCCAGCGCCCATCAGTTGTCTGCTTCATAGCACCACCTAAAAGAAGTTTCAATTATTCACTAATGAAACCACATAAAGACTCCATACACCAAATGGTACGGTCAAATTACCTACTAAAGGACAAAGACAACACCGTGGAGGTATATCAGGAGCGCCAGGACGACATAAGTTGCATAACCACAAAGCACCATCACAGGGTTCTAGCTCTCCATAGCATTTAGCATGGACCTAAAAAAGTGGACCAGAAATTTCAAATTAAGTCATACCCAAGAGAAAGAAAGAACATAAGGTACTATAGAGTATACATCTAAGAGATATACGATATCTAAAAAAGCTCGAGCATGAGCAATACCATCATTCTACATTTATCACACTGCAGGAACAAATTGTTCTCATACTCCTGCAGGAAAAAAATATATAAATCAGAACTAACTTATTAAAGAGCAAAAGTTTGACATCTCATGAGAAACAAAAAAAATGTACCCTTTACCTCATCCATGTAACAGACATTGCACTTATCGAGATCTTTCCAGTCAACACGGACAGGTCGATAACCAGTAGCCTGACTTTGATGCCTTCCCAAACTATATTTGCACATGGAAACATCGGACGATGGTCTGGATTTTGATAAATCCTGCTAGGTAGATTGGTTTATAAGGGTGAAACATGTATTAAGTGTAGTCACTAGAAGCTAAACAATAATGTAATGGTATAAAACAGGGAACATGCACCAAGCAGTATAAAGAGAATTAATCATAACAGTTTGCAAAATCTAGCAACCATCTTGATAGGTATCTTCCTCATGAAAAAAAAAAAAAAAAGTGATATGTTCTACAAAACGTGGTTTGCTATAAGACTGCAGAAAAAGAAAAACTCTTTAGTTTCACTAAGAGCACAAGTTTTCTTACAATCAGTCCACATATTTTATCCTTAAAAACTCTGTAAATACTTGTGAAGCTGGCTTCAATTAAGAGCTTTTAACGTAATTCTTACAGTTTAACCACAGAAGAGAAAGCAACCGTGACAATTAAAGAAAAGAAGTCTTACTCACTAGACAGAAATGATTATTTCGTAGGTGAAGTAAGTGCTGACTCATTGATGAATATGTGATTCTAATATGCTTTTGGACCAAAAATAGCGACTTAGATTACCCACAAACCAATTAGCAAAGAGCTGCATAGAAATATTTAGTGCACATCTTGAAGATCTTAGAAGAAAACTTGGTTTTGTGCATTAAATCCACTTATACGTTTTAGAGACAAAACAGAAGTCAGCACCACAAAATTTTCAGTGTCCAGACAATTATATGATTCTTATGACTTATGAGACTGAAATGCATGTGCAAGCAGATTATCATGAAAACACATGCACACCACTACAAACAAGTTTTACATGCAACGACAAGATACCTGTACAAGTTTAATGACTTCCGGGTTGGAAAGACCAAACATATCTGTACCAGATCCATTTAGTTCCTCCCCCAAAACATTAGGATCATCAGTAGAATTCTGGACCTTTCTTATCCTGTTATATATCTTATTCCAGCAGGCCGATGGAGTAAACCCTTTGAACTGCCAAAAAATTAATTACCGATGTTAGCCAGAGATACACTCTTGACCTGGCAACTTCAATAAAACAGATACATTAAATTAGATATGTTTAAATCACCTGCTCTCCACTATCTGCAGTCACTCTAAACAGAGGGCGAGTCTTTGACTCGGCATCTCTGAGCACTTCCATCTTGTACAAAGCAGACACACTATGATCTGCTTAAAACCAAAAGTAACAACCCACATCACATTGATGAACTAATCTCAATCAACCAAATATGGAAAATTACTGATTTATAAGGACAAGCCAAAAACTGATTAACAAATAACCTTTTAGTGATGTGAACTTTCTCATAGCCGTATACCCTTCAGGCCAAATATGATTCTCATCCTTGAAAAACTGAGAGTCTGTCACAACCTTTCCTGTAAGACAAGTCATACGCCCATGCATGATCAATGGAGTTCATATCTATAGCCAACTGAAATAATCAACCATTGAATGAAGGATTATACACCATACTTGTAAGTTTAAAGCCTTACCAAGATTTATTATTTGCAGATCCCCTATTGTATGAAGGAAGTCTACATGTTCTGTTGGTCTCAACCACACTTCTCCATCATTAAAAAGATCACCACCCAAGTTTCCCTCTTCTGTACTATTAGCGATTTCAGAATCAACATCAGCTCCTTTTTGAAGTTGACTCATCCTTTCTGGAAGCCTATGTTCCTTCAGATACCTGGGTGAGGCAAAATAACAGAAATTTCAGGACAGCCAACATGTCCAGGTTTCAAGAAACATCAGGAAGACATGATTGGTCTAATTGTTAACGCAACATGTACTGGAAAATCAAGAAAGCAGAATGCCAAAGAAAAGCGAGAGTGACTTGCATTTTTGCTTCCTGCATGCCCTCTTCAAACCGCGGTTGTTTGCACTTCAAGTGAGATGGCGAGAGAAGCCCTTTAATAAATGAGATTGCTTGCTTTTCTTTTATCCTATAAAACCAAAGGATGTTAACTTCAGCTTGATAATGTGTAACATTCATCTCAACAACTCAGTAGCAAAACTAGATATGTAAATATTTAGATAACGCTGACTAACCTAGCAAAATCATGAGTGCCAAAAAACTGGACCAAGAGTGATCCTCCTCCAGATACCTTGTTGTTTAGACCTTTCCGCTCTCCGATAACAGATTCATCTACAATAACTGCTGGCCACATGGCATGACCTGTCCAAATAGGAAAGCAAATGCAGTTCTATGGAAGTCAATAGGTAGTTTTCTTTTTGTGTATGCTTCCAACAGCATCAACTTGCTGATAGCATAAGGAGGATTTTTAAAAAAATTATGCATAAAAGCGGAAATCAGTTTAGTACAAACCAGCTAGTTTTGCCCATACAATGTCACCAGTCTCAAAATCTTGACATCCCTCCAGAGTAGCTGCCAATACAACCATCTCATCGTAATCACGGCCACCAACAGTTACATCACTAGTACACAACTTCAGATGTAACAGCTCCATCTCTTCACGAGACACCAAAAATTTGATCATTTCACGATCAAGAATTATATCCTCATCATATCCATCCCGATATTTAGCCTAAGGAAGAATTCAACCACGGTTAGAGGAATAAGCTTTTAAATATTTCATAGCTCACGAAATGACCCAACTCAGAACTCAAGTAGAGAACTACTTACAGTATGACGCTTTCTCTCGGCACTATATCCAACGATAGAACCTTCATACCAAAGAGCGTCCAGTGGCCAAAAAACCTAGGGGTTAAACGACAATCAATTGTTAAGATGACCCTTCACAAAAAAAGTGGAATGCAATAGCTTAATGTGGACTCTAGTTAAAACACTTACCTTGCATTGCAGCCCTATGAAACTTGTAGGATCTGCACCATCATAACTCAACCTGCCACATCAAAACTCCATCATACAAGACCCAGAAAAAAGGAGTCGCCCCACTAACAATAAAAGGTCAACACATTCAAAGTATGAACTAAGAAAATCATCAGTGCAAAACAACAGCTCGGAAAAGACCACACAAGTTACAAAGTCCATGAATTTCAACAGTTAAAGAGGTGATAGATAGACCCTAACCTGACCCATTTCTTAGCTGAACGAGAAGCCAAAGACACCTTGTCCTGATTCTTGCTAGAAGACCCCTTCCTTCGGGACGACCCATTTTGCTTATTTCCACTGAACGCATTGTTATCCTTACACCTTCTTAAACCAATAGAATCCATACCCGATTTCACCAACACGCAATTACCAATCTTCCTTTTCTTATTCTCCTCAAAACAATCAATTTCATCAAGCTCCACGCTTTCAGTCTTCACAGCCACCGCCTGATCTAACAAAACCTCCCGCTGCTGCCTCTTACGGCGACGATAGTAGACGCGAACAATCTCAGGACGCTGAATCCGCAACTTGTAATCATCCGAACGACAACAATCGGGACTAGCACTCACATCACTACCTTCAACCTCAAATTGCTCAATCATCGGAAGCTTCTGGGCCTTAACCTTCTTAGACATCAGACTGTGTGAACCAACGGCATTAACACAGCACAATGCCGACGAGGAAACAGAGTACATACTCTCAATAGAATCGTAGCGAATTGGAGCATCCACGAGGTCGTGAACATCAATTTCGATCTGGGTATCATTCGAAACACAAGCCATGGAGATTATTCGGAAGGAGAAAGCAAAGGGCTTCGTAAAGGAGACACCTTTGCTCACACTCTCTCTCCTTCCTTCACTAAACCCCCAAAAAAATTGCTAGGGTATTTCGTGGATGAGAGAAATTAGGGTTTAGAATGGTGAATCGGAGAGAAAGGGGATACAAAAAAAAAATGAAAAACAGATCCTTTGGAGGGAGAAGCTAAAGCCTTTTTACGTTTCCCGCCGGGTTTATTAAGATGATGACAAGTCTTTCAGATCTGATGCTCTGTCTCCTTTTATATCCCCGCATACATACATACATTCATAGTGTATGTATATATATAGAAAATAATATCTGATTTTTTTTTTTTAAGTCAAAAGAAAATAATATCTGATTATTAAAAATATATTGTAAAAAAAAAACCACTTGTAGCAATAATAATATTTGTTTCAGATAATTGTTGTTTACCAGTTTTTGAGTAATCTTTCATTACATGGAAATTTTATTTTATTTCAGTCATACATACATTTTTTTGGGTTTTAGTCTGTTGTATAGAGTTGCATAAGACACATTTTTCTGGTTAATCTAAATTAAATTCCATTGCAAAAAAAAAAGGCAAGAGAGACTATAATTTGAATGAAGGTATAAATTAACGGAGTTGCACAAAAAAACTATTTTTCAGTTGGGATTCTGCCTATATTACTACCTATTTTCTCAAAGGAGAAACTTGTTTTATCAGAAAATTCCAATGATTTGCTCCCTTGGTACTACTAAATTGGTTTTGGATTGTCCATAACTTTTATAGACAAATATATTTTAGCCTAAAAAGCCTAGTTTATTGATAAATAATATATTAAGGATCTTTGTGATGGATACAAGTTTATTTTTGAATCAGACGCGAGTGGAAGTCTAATCCAGTTTTTGAGGTGAGAAAAGTTGAAATAAATACATGGGTGATGTTAAACGCATGTTTGAGTTTCTAGAGAAACATTCAAGTATCTTCCCTTGTCTTCATTTTGGACTGAATGGCTATTCATAGGCAGGGCCGGCCCGCAGGACAGGCCACCCAAGCGATGGCTTGGAGCATCACAATTTTTTTTTTTTCTAAAGTTTTTTTTTTTTTTTTTGGTAAAAAGACCCATAAAATAAAAATATTTTGTAGAAACTAAAGTCTTTTTCGAAAAAAATAAATAAAATAGCCCCAAACAATTAAATTTGAATGTAATAATATTCAAAATATCATTATTTTTGTATAATTTACTAAAAATAGGTCAAAAAAAAAATTTTAGCCCTAAAACTTATAAATATATTGGACCTCATTTTATTTTTCGTGTAGGGCCTCACAAATGTTTGGACCAGCACTGTTCATAGGAATTACTTGATTTGGGTTCATAACCAAATATATGTGTGATAGGACATAGGAGTAATCTCACGTAACTGTAACTATAGAACAATAGGCGATCGACTGTAGTAAGGTTTTGCTAGATGGAAAATGCCGTTGATAATTCTAGTGCGTCCCAATAACTTCTGCAGTGTGTCATATATGTTGAATAAGGGCGTAACCATCATGGTTGAATTGTAGTTGCATTTCTTATGCATTAGGACACAATGCTCACTAATGCTCTAAATTGATTCACAAAGGGATGTTTAACAAACTAAAGACAAATATTAAGAAAAATAAGGGTAAAATACTTGCTTGCATGAGCTTTAAGATAGGCGATGGCGTGTACCTCCAAAGTTATTCCCATCAATTAGGCATTAGAATATGTCGTTTCCTAGATACTTGGGGCAGATTGGCGGCTTCTCGGATAGAACTTTGATACTTGGAGCAGATTGGCAGTTTATCATAGACTTCTATGATAAACTTTATTGTCAAAGTATGCACATATCACATTCGTTGGTTGGCTTTTTCTGGATACCCAAAATTTTACACAAAACACATTATGATTGTAGAATAACATGTCGAAGTGAAAAAACAAAAGAATATTATATATGGACTATGGTCGTCACACAATTCTTTGATGTCATCTAACATTGGGATTCATCATTGCTTACATGATTACGCCAATACATACTTGGACAAATATTACGGAATGAACAATTTTAAAATTTCTTCAAAATACCAACCATACTTTCAATCAATGATTTTCTTATTTGGACACACATATATAGGACAAGAACAAATAAAAATATACATACTTGATTAAAAGGAAAAAAAAAACTTTCTAATGTCTTTGTTAGTTTTTAACTAATATTCATCAAAAAAAAAGAAGGGAAAAATCACATTTTCAGACACATAATGTGTCCAAAAATATAATTTTCCTCAAATTCATCTAAAACTTTTGTAAGAGAAGAGCCGGTTCGGCTTAAACCGGCTAAAGAAGACCCGGGTCAATCAAAATAAAAATGAAAATTGGGTGGTTAGTTAAACAACCCTAGGGATTTAAATACTCTATATCGTCCAGCTCTATTTGTCCCTCTCCTCCACTCTCGCCAACTATCATCAAATCTTCTTCTCCTCCTTCTTCTCCGCCATTCTTGTCGCTCGCTCTAAAACCCTATCATGTTCTTCTGAGAAATCTCCTCTACTCAATTCAGCTCCTTCTTGAAGTCTTGGTCGGGAATTTCAAATCGAATCCACCACTGCCTCTGATCGTCATCAAGCTTTACTCTGTCTAGTGTCCCGATTTTCAAACTCCACGGAGGATGGATCTGCCTAGCCTCGCTTTGATCCTCCGAACCGCCGCGCTCAGCTCTATTCCCGATGAGCGTAAAGCTTCTGAGCAGCAACTCAATCAGGTTTCTCAGTTTTCACTTCAATTTCTCTTTCGATGTATTTACACGGTTGCTGAGTCGCGAGTTTTGACTGGTCTCAAATGTAGGAGATTCTTCTGTTAGTATTATCTTGAAGTTTGAGCTGAGTTCATGTATAAATATTCCTTATAAGCTCACTTTTTGGTTTTACTGAAGATAGTTCAAAGATTCCCATTCTTTTTGAACAAATCGTTAATCCCCTATAGTCAGATTTGTTGGGGTTTACTATTTCTAATGAATCAATTAAAGTTCTGCAGTTTCTGATGCCTTCGTTTCTCGTTATTCTTTTGTCTTGCAGTTGCAGCACATGCCTCAGCATTTGGTGAGGTTATTGCAGATAGCCGTGGATGCAAATTGTGACATGGCAGTGCGTCAAATTGCTAGTATTCAGTTCAAACATTTAATTGCTAAGAACTGGTCACCTGAGGATCCTGGTAATAGTAATAATTTGTACTGTAATTATCTTGTCCCGGCTTGACTTTTGGAAGATCTTAGATTAATTTGCATATTTGATGGTGCAGGAGAGCAGCAGCAGATATTGCAGAGTGACAAAGAATTGGTGAGGGACAATATTCTTGTCTATGTCACCCAAGTTCCAACCTTACTCAGGTAAATTTGCCAGATAGCTTTTGGAATTATAATTCAAGTCATTTGGCTGCCTGAGCTCTGATATTAATCGATTTTATGAAAATATTTGTAACATGTATGGCTAATCATGCCTACAAATTGCTCATCATCTTGTCTGATAGATTGTCTTCAAGCTGCTAATCCTCTTCTTTTATATATGCATCTTTGAATGTGTCTCTGCATTATCCTTAGTTGCTAGATATTAAAAAACCGCAGATAGCGGTTGTTTTTTTTTATCTGAAGTTAGCATTTTCTCTCATTACCTTGGTCCCAAATAGCATCTTCTATAAGCTTCAACAACAACATTAATTTTGTTTCTTTCCCTAATTTTCTTATCCAGATCACAACTTGGAGAGTGTCTCAAGACCATTATTTATGCTGACTACCCAGAACAATGGCCACGTCTTCTGGATTGGGTGAAATACAACTTGCAAAATCAACAAATTTATGGGGCTTTGTTTGTGTTGCGGATACTCTCTAGGAAATATGAGTAAGTTCACCACTTTCCATTCCGTATCCCTATGTCTGTGTGTGTGATTCAAAGGTTTGTTAGTGAAATTATTGATATGCTTTATTGAGATATCTTCATGATTCTCTGTGGTGGCAATAGCGCAATTTCGAGTCTTGCATGTATCACACTGAGTAGTGACTAATAAATTTAGGTGGTAACCGCTCCTGAGTAGAAAAATATTAAGAGAAGAGAAAGAAGTGTTAGGCAGAAGAAATGAGAGTGTTTAAAACATATTATTAGAACACAATGGTTTTCATGGCTCTGTCAATTCATGATGTCCTGTCAAGTTTTTGACGACTTCCAGCTAGAAATGCAAGTTGCTCTTTACATGATGACAATCTCATTGTTTACACATAAGTAGTCCATCCCGCTGATGATGGTTCATGATTTTATTTTGTAGGTTCAAGTCAGACGAGGAGAGGACACCGGTTTCCCGCATTGTGGAGGAGACATTTCCTCAACTTTTGAATATTTTTAATGGGCTTATACAGATACCTAATCCCTCTCTGGAGATAGCAGAACTTATGAAGTTGATATGCAAAATATTTTGGTCATCCATATATGTAAGTTGCTAGAGAGATCATTTACATGCGCCTCTGCGGAATTTCACATTTTATCTTCGTAACATAATATGCATATCCTTAAAACACAATACAAACCAGTTAAACTGTTTTGTGTATTTTTTTACTGTTCTCTGTGGGCAGCTGGAGCTTCCAAGGCAATTATTTGATCTAAATGTCTTTAATGCCTGGATGGTTCTGTTCTTGAGTGTTTCGGAGCGTCCTGTTCCAGTTGAAGGTCAGCCTATGGATCCGGAACTTAGAAAATCTTGGGGCTGGTGGAAGGTCAAGAAGTGGACAGTGCACATATTAAACAGGCTCTATAGTCGGTATGTCTTTGACGTTAATATTTTCTTAACAAGAAAATGCGCTTGTAAGGTTTATAGAATTTTCTTGAACACTCATTAATAGGTTTGGAGATCCAAAACTTCAAAGTCCAGAAAACAAACCTTTTGCCCAAATGTTTCAGAAGAATTATGCAGGCAGAATTTTGGAAGGCCACCTAAATTTCTTGAATACAATTCGTGTTGGAGGCTATCTTCCTGACAGAGTTACCAATCTTCTCCTTCAGTACTTAAGCAACAGGTTTGTGTTACAATCACTTGTAGACATTAGCTTCATGTACACATGCAGTATCCCCACTTGGCTAACTTAAATATCCTCTTTTCTCTGACATTATATAGTTTTTTTTTTGGTCACTTAACTTTCAGTTCTTGAAATTAATTAGAACACTTTTAGAGGTTTATATGTTTTGTAGTTTTACTCTATTGCATTTATCATGTGTTTTTTTTTTTTTT